TTGCAAATTGTTCAGAATATGGTATGACCAAAAATAAATCTTATGCGGCGTTAAAAATATAAATATATGTACATGTATAGTAGTAAATATAAATGTAAATATGAGCGTAAAATTATTAAGGCAAAAATCCTTGTTTTAATTATCAATATAGCGAAAATATGTGGTATTATATTACTGTATATAATAACTGTAATTGCATTATTATTGAATTGATTTATATAATTTAAAACTCACATTACTACAATGAAACATAAATATGGTTACTTATTTGTATTTGAGTGTGTATAGTTTTCCAATTATAAATATTGATCAAATGCAAACAATATATCTTACCGGTTACATGTTCTATTGCTTATTGAATATTTAAAATTAGTTAAATGTATTTTTTCGTAATAGTAATTTATTATCCTCCAAGCATTTCTCAATATTTGCAACTAATACTCAAGTTTATTAATATCGATTGTAAATATCGTCGAATCATGGCGAATTGATTTTATATAATCTTACTTTTTCTTTACATAATATCCATTCTGCTTTTCTCAATTTCCTTCATATATTATTTTTACCCATTTTGTGATATATGTCAAATAACAAATAATTCGGTAAAGATTAAACAGCAGAGATTAAATATTCTGGTGGTGGTGCAAAAGAATTTGTCATCATCAAATTGAATTGAACAAGTTAATCTTCACACGACTTTGAATAATTTTTATAAGCAGTATAGAAATATTTTCTTTGTCAATAAGCCATACAGATAAAATTATATTTAATATTTAATTCATAATATTATTTAAGCATAATCATGATATGTTTCATATTTGTTTTTGTTTAATTTTATTTAATAAACTATCTATTATTCATATAAACTATATTAATTTATTTGTTCAATACATGGCTCTATTCTCTTCATTTCGTTACCGTTAATCGGATTTATCATCAGCATTTTGTTACATTTTTTTAATTAGAATTCACATCTAATTTTTAATGTGGTTCAACCAAATATGGTGAAATCACATTAGGTGGCCATTTTTCTCTGCAATATTGGATGATGTAAACATCTATATCATAAAGGCATTATTAAGGATCGTCGGCTTTTTCTTTCTTAAACCCCTTTCCAACTCTTGATTTCAGGAATAGTCAATATTTCTCAACATGCTCATAGTGCTCATAGTGTCCTACTGTATTTCCTTGGTGACTCGTATATATCATAAAAAGCAAGGATACATATACAACTATTTGATCCATAGTCAGTAAATCCGCATAATATGAAATAATGCTTCTGATTGATCATGTATGGAAGCCCGAAAGATCAAAACCTTTTTTTAACTATATAACTTCCGTCTTCGCCTTAACTGAGGCTATCATTTTATTTAACATATGATATTACTTTATGTAGATAAATCTCTTATACCTTGACTATCCTCAAATCTTGATAGTATCCAAATAAATTGAACATTAACGAAAATATATTAAATGAGCAATGTCATTCAAAATATGCACTTCAGATGGGTTGCATTCCTATTTGAGCGAAAACTATTGATGTTGTATTGACTTAGTTGAATGTCCTTGTCTATAATAAGAGCTTGGCAAGATTACATACAAAAGACATGTTTCAAATAGTCTGACACACCAAAGGAATCAAATTATTGCCATTACAATGATCTTCAGCCATAAAGATCCAGTCATAAAATTTGATATATTAATCATAATCATTGTGTATATTAATGCCTCTCCTCTTATTAGTCATTTGTCTGATGCAAGATTAATTCCTTCCATGACCCGTTTTATGTCCATGTTGTTTCAATTAAAATAAATGTGTCTTATAACAAATATTAACTTTTTTCTTATTATTTTCATATTTAAATAAATTATATATTTAAATCTAAGACTGTCAAACTGAATTGTTTTTAATCTGATAGCAATAAAATCACAAATCGATATTATTATATATCATTAATTAGGTACTGTTAATAAATTAAGACAATCATATCTGTAAATTATTTTTATAAATGCCGAAGTATAATTAATGACCATGTTGTTGCTTTAATTTAATAGTCCATTATCTTTTGTTTCATCAACGTAATCAATTTTCGTCCTGTAGACAAACTGTTATTCTAATATCTTCTCATGGGTACAATACATTTTAACTAATTTTACATACTCAGAGATTAATTTCGAAGAAAAATTTGCAGTTCAAGAAAACAACTGATGCTTTACCATTAACAATACATTAGATAATGATAGTATAGTACAATAAATAATAATAGTAATTTGCAAAACTGGACTTTAACTGATTTACCAACGCGCACATCATTAAGATTTATTTTCGCTTAACAAGAAATTCATGAATAAAATTATAAATATTCACATAGTGGCAATTCACAATTTAATATCTTATCCTTTATAAATTAAAAAAAATCACTTTCAAATTATATTCTAGATTTACTAAAACAAGACGAGTTATGCTTTTTATGTGGTGGATTGACATGCAAGACTCTTCCAAATGAAAATACAATGTTGTTTAAAATTAATATATTTGATATATTTTATTGAGCAGTCAATATCTTTCAGGTTATGTTTTCCATACAAAAACTAATTTCCTTTTAATGGCATTTTGGGGCGTGATTTGTCACCTTCTCAGAAATCGAACGGCCGCCGTGCTTAAAGTTCAGGCAAACGTATGCTTATAAATTAGTGAAATGTGTTATATTATTGAATTTTATTTTTTTACAAATTTGGTATCTTTAATTATTGCTATCAAAAAATTCGAATATTATGTAGAATATAAAAACCAATCAGTACTTGATACAAGCCGGATCTCGTTGACTTTTTTTTCGTCAACGGGTTCTAGTTAAAAAACTAGTTTATTTCAACGATTCAACGCTGACAACGTCCTAGGAATTGAGAGTAGGAGGGGACAGAATTGACATAGAATTGATAGTGTTATGCCTGCTTCACCTTCACACCCCTATATCCTATATTTGAGTAGTATCGACAGCACTAATAGGATGTAGAGCACACGGTGGTAAAGGCTCGTCGAAAAAATATCGATATATCGATATATCGATATTATTTTTTTCAATGTATCGATATTTTTGAGCGATATTTAATGTTTCGATGTATCGAGGTATCGATATAAAATTACAAGTATTGAAAAGGTATAAAAATCCATATTTTTTATAATTAAAAAATCCTAAAAAAGAATACTTTTTTTATACTAACATTTTTTTAACAAATTACATTTTTTTGTCTTTGGTCGGCTCGATTTACTGCGTTTTAATTTGGTACTTAAGTTGGCTTTTAAGTTGGTAACTCTGTCTGTCAATGTCATTTCAGTGTCAGTGTCTGTGCTTCAATCAACTATCCGTCTGTTATCCGTATTATAACCTCAACGCGAGCGTATTTCTGCCTGCATTTGAGTTGATTATAGTTCTCGAACAATCTAACTAATTAAATCAATAATTAATTCACGTATGTGAACAAAATAATTCGAGCATTCCAGTCATGTCTAGTGTTGTATGGAACTTTTTCAAAATAATAGATAAAACGTTTCATGTAATGTGTGTGCGAAAATATATAAAACCAGTGGCAATACGACGAATTTATCTACACATCTTAAAAATAAGCATCACCATGCGTTTTTGCAACTTAGAAATAAAAACTCAAGGTCAAGTGAAGTGAATATTACACCATTAACAAAAACTAGTTCACCTGTTTCGTCTACTAATTCAACTATTACCCATACTAATAAACCTGCTGAGATAGAAAATAACTTCATGGAATTGTCTGAAACTGCAATTTACGATGATACTGGTGTAAGTATTTTATTTGCGCAAGATCAAACGTAGCTTTAGAATATAAATATCAATTGTTCATAAACAATAACCAGTTCCAGTCAACTAATGATGTGTAATTACTAAAAGTATCGATATCGATAAATTTAAATTTTGGTGTTTTCACTTAACCATAATACTATTTATGACCACAAGTGTAATGAAATATATACAAAATATTCAATAATTGTTTTCAGACTGAATCCTCCACAGATGGTCAGAGTAAAGACTTGTGGAAACAGACTACACTCATAGATATGTTTGAAAGAAGTTCAAGCTATGGAGGTATTTTTTTATATTAGATTACTGTATTGTTTACGTTTTAGTTCTATGAGGATGTTCTAATTTTATTATTTTTCTCAATTTAGCAGAGGGTCATAAAACTAGCCAAATAAATCAAGCTTTGATCTACATGATTTGTAAAGACAACATGCCTCTATCTTGTGTAGAAAAATCAGGATTGAAAAGATTTATGAGCGTCATTTGTCCACGCTATAAAATTTCATCACAAACTACTGTAAGCGAACTGTGACGGTGGATATCGAGGAGACCCGGAAGGACCCGAACGGCACAGATCTAGGACGCTTGTGTAAAAAACGTGTATATAGTTGGCGTACCCACTAGTGGCAGACAGTCGAGAATACCCAGACGATTAACATAGTGAAAGTTGTATTCTTTTCGATAAAGTCTTGCAATTGTTAGCAATCAGTTTTGAGGTTATGTCGAAACATTTCAATTTTCCATTGAAATAGTGTAAATATTCGCACATTATTGGGCACTCCAAAAAATGCCACCGATGCCATTAAATTAAATAACGGTGGTGAATATGTTCATTTTGGGGTATAGAAAGGTATTCCTATTCTCCGTTTCATGAAGAAATACCTTGAAATCTGTCCCGATAGTATCAGCGTTAAAGTTAACTTCGATGGATTGTCGATAAATTCGATTCGATTATTGATAAATGATAATTGACTTATTGATATTTCAACCTATTCAGAACAGCACTCACAATTATTATGTATTTGTATCGGAATTTGAATCATTGCAATATCCAAAGAATGTCGCCTACCAAGAGTGACGTTTGGCAGTATTTCGTCAAGATTAACAGACAAAGTGAAATGTAAGATTTGTTTCAAAACCTTAAAATCGTCAGGGAATACGTCAAACATGAATAAACATTTAAAGAAACACCCTAATTCTGATGCCTCAAGGTAATTTTTTTTTTTAATGATTATATGGTCCTTATTTATATAACCTAAAATTTGTTATTTAGTAATTTAATAGGCGCACGAAACTGATTATTTTATATATTCTTTTTAGTGTAAAAGGAGATAAAAAACAAACGACGATGTCGACGATTCAAAAAAAGTTAGAACTGTCAAATTTACCGAGTCGTGATCACGAACCCCAGCCATCAACAAGTACATCGAAAGCACCTAAATCAGATACATTGTTAACAGCTCCTTCACCATCTGATGTCGAGAGAATTCCAATATTAATCAGTGGTGATGGTGAGTTAGAAGAAACCTATGCACCACTTCCAAAAAAAGGCAACTTTCAATTGTATAATCAATGGAACGAAAATACTCTTATTTGGATGGAGGAAAAGAATATTTGAAACTCTGCATATGTTTGCTTTATTTTATTTGCGTTGATAAAAGACCGTTTGACATTGTGAAAGGGCGTGGGTTTAAAAAATTGATGCATCAAGCGTGTCCATCATTTAAAATTCCTCATGTAGATACTCTTGAAGCACAATTCGAACACTTTTATAGTGTAATGCGTTTGAAAGTAGAAAATATATTTGACAATGTAGATCACGTGGCATTAACCTGCGATATTTGGAGTGAGATGATGACCGTTACCACTTATTTAGGGGTTACTGCTCATTATTTGCAAGAAGACAAACTGGTGTCACGTTGCATAGCTACCGTTGCACTGGATCAGCGTCATACTGGTGATTTTATCGCTGAAAAATCAAAAGAAATTTGTGTAGGTATATACATCAGTTTGGATAAAATAACTGCAGTAGTTACAGACAATGGCTCAAACATGATAGCCGGCATAGCAAATTTTCTAGAAAAGAACAAACATTTACCTGGCTTTGCTCATACAATTAATCTAATCGCTGAATCTGCCATGTCAGTCAATGATTTAGAAACATTAGTAAGCACTGGGTCTCAACCTCTCAAACTGATTTTAGACGTCTATTATATGCTACAGAGATACATTGAATTAGCACCAATAGTTCATCAAATTTTGATGTTAAATACAAAAGCACCACCCACGCCATCGGCTGTAGAAATGCAAAATATTAAAACATTGATTTGTATTTTGAAACCGCTGGAGTATGTAACCGAAGAGTTATCAGGTGAACAGTTGTAACCATTAGTAAAATAAACCCGGTGGTGAACTGTTTGAAGACGCAGATTAATAATATACCTATGGCTGTAGGTGATGGTGATGGTCTCCATGGAAGGGTAATAGATACAATAAACACAGAAATCTTAAAACAGATAGAACGCCGATTCGGACATATTGAAGATAATTATTTGATTGCAATGTCATGTTTGCTAGATCCGAGATTCAAGAATATCCATTTTCAGGACGCTAATGCTTGTGCAAAGGCAATTTCTTTACTGAGAAGATAAATAACAACGTCTCCTAGTGTTATCGGCAGCGATCATGACAGCGATTCCTCTCTTGAAACAAGAAATTATCTCACACGAAAAAGCGATGTAAAACCAGTTCTTTATCACAGTTTGAAAATAAGGATGAAATAAGCCATTATTTATCTACACAGGTTTCGCCACTTTCTTTGAATCCTCTGAAACAATGGGAAGATATGAAAGTTGTTTTCCCAAAATTATATAAATTGGCACGAGAATTTTTATCGATTCCTGCGACTTCAGTGCCCTCAGAAAGATTGTTTTCGAAAGCTGGAAGTACAATTACTAAAACTCGCAACCGCCTATCGCCAAAAAGGCTCGACAAACTTCTTTTCTTGAGCGATTGTACCGAGGAGAAATGGTTTTTATAATATTTTAGATTAAAAAATTGTGGCTTTACTTACAGGTTGTTTTTATTTATCCCTGCCTGAGAAAAGAACTCGATACTTTGAGGTATCGATACTTTTGTGTCGATTCTTTTAGGAGTACGATACTTTTTTATCGATACTACTCATGAGTACAGTATCGATACTTTCTATTCGATACCGTGTCTCTAGTTACCCTGTTTTGCTACTATTTTCAATTCAAAGATTCAAACGACAAATCGTTTGTTCGTTTTGGGAAAACCATCGGTATTTTATTGTGAATCTCATTTATCTACGTTGTGAAGCATTTTGTTTATAATTAATTGTATTCAAGTGATTATTTTAATTTAATATGGCTAAGTGCAGTGTACCGAGTTGTGGAAACTCCAGTAGTAATATAAAAATGCATGTTTTTACCCTACTAAAATCAGTACCCCACGACGGCCGAACCGCAATAATATGAGATGTTTTGTGAATGTAGATATCTATATAGTACAGGAGAAAAAGCCTGTATTGAAGCCAAAAGAGAACAAAATAATCTTTGATAATAATATTATGAAATCTGTGATTTTTATTAAAATTACTATCACCGTTTTATCATTCCAAAAATAATGTTAAAGCATTTAGTACGGGAAAAATCAAATTGAACTAGATATATTCATCTTCAATATTCGCGAATGCGAATGCTGATTTTGACATTTCGTATCGGCCATGTTTAAACTGAACATAGCCGAGCCGATACAAGTTGAATGAACGAAGTTAGTCACAGAAAACTCATTCGACAAGTTTTGTTTTGATTTGAGGTTAGTTTGGTGTTATTGCATTTCCCAAATTTAACTGATATTCAAGTGACAAAGTGGTATAAAAACATTAGTAAAGCACGTGTTAGCAAAGTTTGGACTTATTTCACAATATATGATGCTGAAAATGTAAATTGCAAGTTGTGTGATAAAAAGTACTCGCGCAAAGGCAGGACCACTAGTGCTATGCGAAATCACTTAGAAACTAAACACAAAAATGAATATGACGAATTGAAAAGAAGAGAGCATAAAAAGCGAGGTGCTGCTAAAATTAATTTTTTGGCGTCCTCTTCGCGACAATGTACCAAAACCGACCATAAACAAATATCTTTAAGTGATTGCATCGAAAAAAATAAAAAAATCGGATAACAACAACACTGAGTCTTTGGAGCTGGATAATTTAATTTGTAAACGCAGCAGACATACAGGAGAAAATACATATATACATACAGTCATCATAGGGAATTCCCAAAGAAAAGGTATTATGTATGGTTAGGGATGGTGGCACTAACATGAAAAAAGATTTCTTTATTAAATATCAAAAACATTGATTGTTTATCGCACCAAATTCAACTTGTTGTTAAGGAAGAGGTTAAGGAAGACTTGTTGTTAAGTTTTACCTAGGTGGGGTCCTGGTTACGATGAAATTGATTTGGTCCCATATTCATGGCTTGATGAAATAGAAGATAAGTTACATTGCTACTACCCGAATACAAAAAAAAACTAAAAAAAAAGAGATAAATATCTAGAGAAAAAATCTCTACCAAAGAAAAGCTGGATACCTGGTGAAGTCGAAATAATCTCGAGTGCTGGTAAAAAACTAAACATTGATGCTTTGCTATTGATTTTTTGCTATATAACTAAGGTATTACATATAGTATAAAACTCATTTTCAGATACGTTAGAAAGAGGAAAACGACACTTACAGCGTGCTGAAAACACAATAAACGTTAACACTGACGAATCGGCACAATCTACTGCCGCGATTGTTCACCAATTCTCATCTGAAGGTATAAGCCAAGAATTAGATGATATAGAGGTTATGAATTCAGTTTCATCGAGGAACAAACCAAAAACTAATTTTCCTGAAAAAGTTCAACCCCAAAAATTATCAAAAAAAGGTACATCATCATTATATAATAATAATCCGTTATAGCTGGTTAAAACTTTTTTTTTAATTTAGGTCCTATCACGGGTACACCTGATGGTTTGAACGACTACGATAATGACTCGGACTACGCGTTTTCATCATTATCAAAAAATAATCATTTTTCTACAGATAGTCAAAATAACAAATCAAACGAACTTAAAAGTATATTCAATTATTACTATTATTATTTTTATTTTAACTTTGTTGATTGAATTTTATTCAATAATTGCATGTATTTATTCTTCAGATGGCTACAAAAGATTGATTACGACTGATTCCGATACAACTTTCGATGGTGCTTGTAGCAATTGTGGTAATTATTAATCACTGGTTTTTCTATTTTTTTTACTTATTATGTATTATTTAATCTTATAATTTCAGGTCTGTCAAAAAAATGTATTGACTTAAAGTTTTCAGAGATGTCTAATAAGCTAGATCGATTAATGTTCAGTATTTTATATGAAATAAAAAAGCAAGGTGGCAATATACAAACGCAAGTAATTATGAATTCATCATTAACTAAGGCTACTAATAGCACATTGAGTGAAGCAAGAGAAGTTTATAAAGAGATATTTCCTTTTGATAATCTTCAAAATTTCAAAAACTTTGATGATCAGTTGAATGATGAAAATGAAAAAGTAAATTTACAAAATTTGTTTGAAATATTAATTTATGGAGAGAACAATATAAATGCTTGCGTTCGAAAGACGCTGTCTGAAGTTATTGCCCCATGGGGGGTCACTTCTGCAAAAGTGCCACAGCACTACTCTGGAGCTCGTCGAGTAGTTCGTGGCGAAGGTAAACTAAATATTAGTGCAACTAAAACATATATCTAACAACAACTAAAACATATAATCAATTGTATAATTTCACGCTATAGTTATTTTTCATATTCTTCAGTATTATATTGAGCTAGCTTTACCTTAGAGCTTTTTTTCAACATTTTCTAATAAAATAAAAGTTTCTTTCTAGGCTTTTTTGACGTAATTAATTAAACAAAAAAATATTTCATGTTGATCTTGACGTTTTGATCGATTTTGATTTAAATAACAATAAAAACTTTTTATATGCTCTTGGCATTTGTCACACGATGTATCTATTTATATGCAATATATATTTTATCAACCGGACCAAACAAAACAGATTAAGATCTAGCCTTGGGTCGTTTCTGGCAAATTTTGGAGGCAGAGGTGGCAGTAAGCGTAAACAAGCGTAAATAAGCTGTAAAGTTTAAACTGATTTCTGTTCTATTATAATTATCACTACTATTATGATTATGACTATTATTACTATTAATATTATTAATATTAATATAACTATACTATTAGAACAATATTATTATAATATTGTCTAAGATTCAAAAACTATTATACTATTTTATTTTTGTTTCCAAAGTTTTTCTAAAATGTAAACTTTCTTGTATAAATAATGGTACAATATAATTTTCTTCGTAATTTTATTTTAACCACGCTTGGTCAGCAGTCGGCCACTACTCTTGGCCGATACTCAGTTACTATGATGAGCCGATCCTCGGCAACTACAACAGGATGACGCTCGTATACTATCCTAGGCCGATTCTTTGTATGGGTACATTGATATATCGATATTATTTTTTCAATGTATCAATATTTTTGAGCGATATTTAATGTTTCGATGTATCGAGGTATCGATATAAAATTACAAGTATTGATTTATTTTTTATAAATAAAAAATCCTAAAAAATAATACTTTTTTTTACTAATTTTTTTTAACAAATTACATTTTTTTTGTCTTTGGGCGACTCGATTTACGGCGTTTTAATTTGGTACTTAAGTTGGCTTTTAAGTTGGCAACTCTGTCTGTCAATGTCATTTCAGTGTCAGTGTCTGTGCTTCAATCAACTATCCGTCTGTTATCCGTATTATAACCTCAACGCGAGCGTATTTCTGCCTGCATTTGAGTTGATTATAGTTCTCAAACAATCTAACTAATTAAATCAACAATCAATTCACGTATGTGAACAAAATAATTCGAGCATTCCAGTCATGTCTAGTGTTGTATGGAACTTTTTCAAAAAAATAGACAAAACGTTTCATGTAATGTGTGTGGGAAAATATATAAAACCAGTGGCAATACGACGAATTTATATACACATCTTAAAAATAAGCATCACCATGCGTTTTTGCAACTTAAAAATAAAAACTCAAGGTCAAGTGAAGTGAATATTACACCATTAACAAGAACTAGTTCACCTGTTTCGTCTACTAATTCAACTATTACCAAAACTAATAAACCTGCTGAGATAGAAAATAACTTCATGGAATTGTCTGAAATTGCGATTTACGATGATACTGGTGTAAGTATTTTATTTGCGCAAGATCAAACGTAGCTTTAGAATCTAAATATCAATTGTTAATAACCA